CTAGGTAATATAAAAAAAAATCAGAAGATAGAGTTAAAAGCAGGCTAGAGCGCTGAATAAATATGAAAGTCTTAAAGTTCAAATAAAGAAGCATGCGGAATTGAACAAACATGTCTCAAAAATAAATTCCTAATAGTCATAATTTAAGCAGAACTTTTACAGGAAAAAAATCTGCACACAATCCTTGTCTGTCTGAAATAACAAAGTGTCCTGTGAGCCCCCCCACCCCACCCCAGCAGTTCTACCGCACCCAGAAGTTCTACTGCAGACAAGTGACTCTCTAACGCAAGCTGCTCTGCAGAGGGTTAGAAGTTTGATAGCCTCGTTACCCTTGAGCCTCCCACTCAGGCCCAGACCACCACTCACTCAGTCTAGCGAATCCACGCGGGAGGTAAGAAGCAAGTACAGTCTTGCCCTGCCTAGTCTTCTGTTCCCTCCCTGGCCCTTCCACTAACATCGCCTTCCTTCCCGCCTGCTCCACGTCCATCTAGCAAGGCATCTAAATGCTCATGCATATATTTCATGAATGAAGGGTGAAGCCACAGAACCTCCTAAGTTACAGCTTATATCCTAGTGATGAGCCAGCCTGGATGCACTTACAAGCCTATAAAATTAAATGACACATGGGCAGAATATGAAGGGGTTAACACTTCTAAGTCCAAAATTTCTGAGATTTGAATTTATATTGTAGCATTTATCAGTATGTGACCTTGGGCAAATTCTTTACTCTCCAGCTTTTTAAATGAGCAAGGTAAAAATCCACCTGCCAAATAAAAGTATTAAATTAGCATATATTATCAAGTATGTGCCACAAATTCAAGGTTTTCCCATGGTGAGCATAAATGGTTCAATTTTAATTTTGAGCAATAAGTAAAAAAAAAAAAATCCCAGCCACCAAACTTATAAAAGTCATTCCCATAGACTCAGACACACACAAATATTTCCATATTTTAGAATCAAATATAAAAGTACATTTCCATATATTTAGGGTAAGTATACACATTTCTCAAGACATCGGTAATATGAAAAACAACTATGTTTGAAGCATAGAGATGTCTTACTTTTTTAAAATGAAAATGGTCATCTTTTGAGAACCACAGTACAAAGCCCCTTTCAAGAATAATAATTCACCACCTAAAGTAGTTCTTCAATTAAAATTACATAAAATAGATAATTAAATGATAACTTTTGGAAAAACATGAAAATATAGTCAGGGACAATGTAACTTACATAAAAGTTATGTAGGTTATGTAAGTTATAAAAATATAACTTACATAAAAGTTCAAAAGTAGTACTTCCTAGAAGAGAAAACCTTTTTGATTATCTCTACAAACTGTGGATTAACTTTTCTAGCTTCTCTTAGTGGTCACAAATGTCAATCCAAATCTGGAGATTATCCTTAATTATGGAATGTTGGCTGTTAATATAAAATGGGGAGGTTGGACTATATCAATATGTATCACTAGATAATTTTCAGTGGAAAAAATAGTTTCATGTAATTATTTATACAAAAACAGAAAAACTGTATCACATATTACAGGAAAAAAACTTGTCCTCCAATTTTAGTATAGTCAAAACCTATGGTTGGTTCAGCATCTATAATGATCAGCAGAGCCATACGGCGCATGGAGGAAATCCACACACACTTGGGAACAGCACTGGCTTGAGGTGTGAGCCACGGCTTCAAAGAGGGTTGAAAACTGGAGAGTGGTGAGAACCATGAAAGGAAGTGTGAGGAGGAGAAAGCCCCAGATCCGCACATCCGTGCTCAGCTATTAGAACTGTCAAATGCAGTGTTCCAGACTGCAGAGAAATGACATCAATGATCACATTGACATTATTTATACTTAGGAATACAGAGGCAGGAATGGTAAATATGTGACCAAATATAGAAGATTATTTAAAGTCATATATAGGTATGCCTCTATATATCTATATTAACACACAACCAGACACAGTACTTCTTGGGGAGTGACCTACGGCTCTGCAAGAGGGTTGACAACTGAAGGGTGGTATATATATATGTATATATCTATAACCACTCCTGCTTTCAGCTATGATGAAGTAATGAGGGCTGGATTTACTCTTCTGTCCTCACTAAAACACTGAACAGAAAACCCGATACAGAGGTTTTCAAGAGGCTGGAGCACAGGCAGCGCAGGACAATGTTCTTCTGTTATCCCAGCTTTTTGTCTAAAGTGAATTTTCAGTGCACAGGGCAAGGAATAAAAATCTAAATAGAACCCAGTGGTACTGCTGAGTTGCGAAGAATAGCTAAAACTGTATCAAGTGTTAATGATAGCGTCTATCGAGGAAGGACGGTGAAATTTTGGATGAGTTTTACCATTTCTAAGAATGTTATACAGTCCTGTACCATATTACTCATCCATTCCACTACTAGGTATTTAGAACTAAAAAACTAGAACTAAAACACTACATCTGTACAGAAACTCATATATGAATATTTACAAGAGCTTCATTGATAATAGTAAAACACTAGAAACAATGCAAATGTCTATCCACAGGTTTATGTTCTCACCATGAACCACTCCTTAAGGAATACAGAGGAATTGAATAGTATCCCATGTGGTAACAGATGAATCTCAAAATAATTATATGGGAGAAAATGTCTGCCCTGCCAAAGCACACATTTTTAAATATTATATAAAACTCTAGAAAATGCAAACTAATTACAGTGACAAAAATCACATGCTTGATCACTTTGAGGTTAGGTAGGAGGGTAGAAATTTTAAAAAGAACCATGAGGACTTTTGAAAGTGATGGATACTATATGTTTCTCATCTTAGGAGTTGTGACTTTTTTTATTGGTTTCTTTATACATATGTCAAAACTCATTAAGTTCTATACGTAGTTTATACGTCAATTAGACTTCAGTAGAAGTGAAAAAGCCATGCAATTATTTAAAACAGAAATCACAACTGTATATGATGTGAGACTGCTATTCATTTGGGTCTAATACATGTATATGACACAACAGCAGAAAAGATGAAGGCATACATATAGCTGCGTCATCCAAGATCCTGTATTAGAAGTGAAACAGGAGAATGGTAACTAGGTAATATTCTGATAATTTAAGGATGTAATCTGTAATCATTAAAGCAGCTTAAAAAATACTTTAGGTAAACACTTAATAGAGGAATTAAAGTAAAATACTTAAAATATTCAATTAACCAAAAGAAGACAGAAAAGGAGAATTAAAGAATAAGTAACAGGTGGAATAACACTGAAAGTCAATTGAAACAAAATCAGCCATACCAATAATCATGTTAAATGTAAATCATCACTCCAGTGATAATGAAGATATTGTCAGAATAAATAAAAACAAGACTCAGTCAAGACTAATTGCAAGATATAAAGACCCAAAAAGAAAGAAAGAAAGAAAGAAAGAAAGAAAGAAAGACACAAACTAGGTGTAACTAAAATGATGGGAAAAGACCTGTCATGAAAACCATAAGCATAAGAAATCTAAAGTGGCTTTTTGAGGTCTGACAAAAAAGACCTTAAGGAAAGGAGAATTACCATGGACAAAAAGAGAAATTTTATAATGATTAAAGAAAAAGTTTAATATTAAAAAGTGTACATGTCTGTTATGGTTTGTTTCTAGGTGGTCCCCCAAGCTTCATGCGGTCATGTAGGCAGCTGAATCTAGCATTGTGATTGGTTCATTGTCTAGGGCTGGGATTGGTGGTGTGAATGCTGCTCCTGCCCAGGGGCGGAGCTGGCATACAATGTAAGGGCAGGAGGAGGCATGCTTTCCCTCTTTTTGCCTTTTTGCCTCACCACTTGCAGTCACCATGAATGGCTGCCTCTCAGCCACACCAACCTGACTTAGGGCCAGCTGAGTATGGACTGAAACCTCCAAAAACTGTAAGATGTAAACCTTTCCTTCCTTCATGATGGGCATCAGGTATTTTGTCTCAGCAATGAGTAAAAAATAACCAAGAGAATGTCTAATAACTTAAAACACCTAAAACAAAAACACCAGAATTACAAGGGGAAATAGTTTCACAATGATAAAGATTTTAATATTGTCTCTCAATAAATTCAAAGTGCCCAAATTGGAAAAGCAGTAATTAATGCATTAAATGATTTTAGAATTCTAAATTAACTAAAGAACAGGTTTAAGAATAATAGGTTATATACTCTTCTTTCCGGCCTATCTCAGGGAACACACTGGAAAGCTATCTCCCATACTCTAGTGGCTTTCACTTTGCTTGCACACTGAAATCATCAGAAGAGCTTTAAAAGATGTCCTAGATTCAGATTTAGTTGGTCAGAAATGAGGTCTGAGTGTCAGGTCCATGTTTGGCACTGGAGATACAGCATAAACAGGAGAGAAATTAAATTTCCTTATGAAGCCCATTAGTAAAAGGTAAGTAAGCAGTTTGGTCCTAGTACAGAAATTTGGCATGTAGCTCAAAGAACAGAAGAGAATGCAAAAGCATATCCAAGTAAACTGATATTTCAAATGGATGATTTAATAAATGGACCATTAGAAGAAAATATTATGTAGAAAATAATCATCCTCTTTAGCTAAACAAATTCTAAATGGACTGAAGAGTTAAATCAAATATGGAAATAAGAAAGAAAAAGAAAAAAGATACAGGCAGGTATTTTTATGATAGGTTAGGTCTTGAGAAAAATGCCACAAAGTTGAAACTATAGAGCAAACAATAGTTAACATGTGCCAAATAAAAATGTTAAGCATATCTGTTATCAAAACACATTATTATCCAGTTAGCAATACCACTAAAAGTGGTATCTGTAATGTCCATAGACACACAAAGGTCCTAACAATCAATATAAAATATTGTGACAGGCGAATAAGTAAAGGATTTAAGCATACACTAGTATTATAATTATGTATAAATCAAAAGTTATTTAAATATCCTCACAAAAAACTACTAGAAAATAATGACCAGTAAGTAACCTGACATCCTTGGTGTCTCCATTCCGCAGCTTCTGAACGATGTACTTACTGGCTAAAATGCGCTCATGGCTTCTTGTGATCCTCTCCTGTAATGATTTTGTGATGGACTTTCTGCTACCATGGATGGAGGTTGAAGAGAGGTCTGTCAGTTTCCAGTGGGTCCAAAAGCCTCTCTGAGGTTTCAGACCTGTTAATATAAAATGCACATGTAGCTGAAGAAGTTAGGATTTTGAAAATATCTTTTAATGTGTCAAAACATTTTGATTTACGTATTTGACCTTTCCAACAAAAAAAGTTCTTGTTTTTGTTCCTGCACTCTCAGCCTTAAAACAAGAATTATTATTATATAAATCTTTATGGGGTCTTCAGGATTAGTCTTCAAATGTTGTTAAAGTGTTCAGTAAAGGGAAAAGCACTATAAGAACATGAGCTAGTGCTGTTATTATCACTGTTATTACACATTGATAGACTAATAAATGTTACCAGTATTTTTCTCAGTAATCAGCATTTATTGAGGATGATTTTCCAGATTTAACTATTGAATTAGAATCTTTCAAGTATTTTTTAGATACAGTTATCATCTCCTTAGCATTAACTGCCATAGATCAAAATTGCAGAGGACGTTAGTTAAATTCACTTGAATGTTTCTTCAATAGCCTATATTTAAAATACTGAGTACTTATAGAAAGCCTGATGTGTGGTAGAGCCAGCAGATTGGCAGGGTACCACTCCACAGGAGACCCCACGGAGAGTCTGCCCCCACCCCCAGCAGTCAGCAGGCAGAGAAGGAGGGCAAAAATCTGTTGAGCAGGAGACTTAATTGTGTTTTCCTTAGGAAAGTGGAAGGGAATCAATTTCTTTATCTCTGCAGTAAAAGAACTATAATTAAAGAGTAGCAAAAAAACAATTTTATATATGCACAAAATTGATCCATTGATTAAATTATTGATTAAAATTGATTAAATTATTTGACCTATATTTCATTATAAACAGAAGAATAAGAAATGTAGCTAAACTGAATCATAGAAGATTTACATTAGACAAAAAGACAGATTTTCTCTTCTGTAAACTTGATTTTTACTAGGGTGAAAAGGGATTATTTTATTGATTAAAGATACAACACATATTAAACCATCAAAAGTATGAACAAAATCCTATAGAAGCACACATGTTCAAGTCTATAGAACTACACATACTTCACATAAAGTTCTAGTTTTCATTTTATGTGTCCTGTAAGTCCTGTAGGCTTTCTTCACTCTTCTTATTATTTTTCCAAATTTGTTTTTCACTGGGTCATTTCAAAGTACCTGTCTTCAAGGTTGCAGATATTCTTTGGTTTCAGAGGTTTTTTCTTTTTTAAAAATGATTCCTATCGACTTCCGGGAGAACATGGCAGGCAGATAGCAGCAGCTACGGAGGCTCTCTGAAAGACCCAGCTTAGAATTCAGGAATGGTGCGGAGTAAGGAATCATAAGCAAGTGGAGATATGCCCTGCTGACCCAAGAACGATCTAGGCTGAGAGAAACCAACTGGGAATGTAATCCCGGTGCTATAACAGGAACAGAAAAGCCTCAGTGTGGAAGTTGGAGCCTGCACCATTGGAAGCCACGATTTGGGTTTCCCGCCGCCGTTGCTGCGTCTACATCCGCTTGGCAGGGAGAGAGACAAGCGAAAGCTCTGAGAACGGGAATTGGTGAACGGAGTTGAAAGCAGGACGGGCGGGGAGCCGTGCATTGACCTGCAGTAGGTGAGAGAAACTGGGACTCTTCCACGGTCTAGGAGACTCCAACAGAGGACATTCTGGGACCAGGCAGACTTGTGGGAACAGGGCGCTGCAGTGACTTCAGCCACGTATCCTCCTCTCAAGCGGGATTGGTGAGCAGTGCCTAGCCTACATGACGCTGCGGGTTGAGACCCAGTAGGCTAGTGAACCCAGATCCCAGCGCCTGAAGATGACCTGGAGGGGCGGGCCCCACATAGGCTGCCTGAACTGCAACTTCCTGGTACGCTTTGGTGGGCGGGAACACCTAGCCGGCGCAATTCAATTAGACTGTGGCTGACAGGGAAGGAAGCTGGGCCTCCTATATACGCTTGCATATATAAGGAACAAATAATATGGGAAGAGGCAGCAACAAGAAAGGGTCCTCAGCCCCCAATCCTGAGAAAGAGGCAATAGTAGACACAGCACCAATAGATACAAAGCGTTATCTCCAGAGCCTCATAGACAAGTTCAGGAATGAAGTTATTAATGACCTGAAGCTAGATATAAGGAGAATAGTTAGAGAAATGCTAAGCACCACCCAAGAAAAAACAGATGGTGGATTGGAAGAACAGAAAAAGAGGGGAGAATTGTTTGATGGAGAAAATAGAGAAAGCATAGAATACGTGAAGCAGGTTCAAAGAGATTACCAGGAAACTAAAAACTCTATCAAAAACTGGCATAACAGCTTGAAAGAAACTAAGGACAGATTATCTGAATTGGAGGGCAGATTTGTAATATGGGAGCATGAAATGAAAAACTTCTTAAAAATAACAAAGAAACCAACAGCAATAATACAAGGACTAGAAGATGATAAGAGGATCTATAACTTAAGAATTAAGAACATAAAAGAAGAAGTAGGGACACAAACAAATGAACTACAAAAGCTACTCACAGAAATAATCCAGGAGAATTTTCCTAATTTAGCAAAAGGTAAAGATACTCAGTTGTATGAAGCATACAGGACCCTAGCCACATACAACCCAAACAGAGCAACGCCCAGGCATATAATACAAGAACAGAAATCCAATACAAGAACAGAATATTAAAAGCCATCAGAGACAAGAAACAGATCACTTACAAGGGAACACCCATCAGAATTACAGCAGATTTCTCAGCACAAACCATCAAATCACAAAGAGCGTGGGGGGAAATAATTCAAGCTTTGAAAGACAATAATCTCCAGCCATGATTGATATATCCTGCACAACTATCCCTGGAAATTGATGGAAAAACAAGGTGCTTCCAGGATAAAGAGGAAGTAAGAGAATATGCAACCACCAATTCAACTCTACAGAGAATACTGCAGGATATTCTAAAAAAGAAAAATATGAAGAATCCACAAATAGTGGCAGAGAGGCCACAATGAATGGAGCAGAAAACAAAATGAAGAAGACAAACTGACAACTAATGACAGAAAAAGAGCTCAACAGAAATGAGGCAGAGAAGATTGGATAATAGGAACAGCTATTTTGGAGAAAATGACATCTTAATAGGTAATACTGATTTAGTATCATCTTGTTTTGAAGTCTCTCCAAGCTTTTGTTCTTCTGTCTCCATTGGTCTAAACAGGTTGTATCTTATTGGATTTTATTATATATGATAGTATAAGCAAAAACTTTTATAGACAAGGAGATTATACAGAAACCATTGTTCATTTTCTGTTAGTTGATTCTAAATACCCTGTATTACTGTCATTCTCTTAAATGGTTTTACATTGTTTTGATATATTTGATGTTACAGTATACGAAGTTATACTCAAAGATTTCAAGGAAAGAGACAATATGGTAACTACTTTTACATTGGGAATATCTTGTGGTCAAACACTATTTTGCTTAAATGGTTTGGTTTTGATCTGCGCTGTTTTGCTGTTATGCCCTCTTTTATCTCAACCTCCATTTTATTATTTACTTTTTTATTTTTATCCTTTTAATTAAGGGAAAAATAAATTTAAAAATAGCAGGATATATTATACTAACCTACTTTGACTTTCCATTATCTTGATTTAAAGCCCTGTATTGCTCTCACCATCTTGTTTTGACTGATGTCCCTCTATTCTGTTTTGCTTGATAGTACCAGGTTCAAAAGTTTAAGCAACAGCTGTGAAGATAGTGGGATTCATTATGATGCCCATTCTGGTTGATTATTATCTACTTTTGAAGACCTGTAATGTCTCCAATGTTTTGGTTTTGCCAGTTTTGTTCTTTACTGTTTTGTTCAATTTTATTATAACTGATGATATAGGCAATTCTATTAGAGATAGCGGGAGGCATTATGGTAACCATTGTTGATCACCTTGTATTATGCTTTTACATTATCTATTATGTCCACCCTTTTGATTTGACCGACTGTTCTGTTATGTCACATTTGGTTCTACTCTCTTCCAAAAAAGTAATAAGAACTGGGAGCAACAAAACCCAAAATGTGTAATTGTCATTGTACGAAAGAGAGGAAAAGAAAGTGCTCTAAACGATATAACTGCATGTATATTTAAGTGTATAAGGTAGATAATGATATTACTGAGTTTTGTTGGATCGTTGAACAGAACTGTTTGCAGTCTCACTGTTGGAATGTCCACTTTATAAGCTTTAATTTTGTAACTTGAACAACTATTTCTAAGATGACAATATGTAATCCATTAACTAGTGATTTCCTACTGTTTATTTTTTTCTGTAAATCTGTATAACTTGTACCCTTTCTCTGCTTTTTTTCTTTTTCTCCTTAAATAAAATTAAATAAATGATTCCTCTCTTGTTTTTCATTAACTAGTTTTGATCTAAATGATATTATTCTGATATAGTTGTCTGTTAGCACACTAAACATCTTTAAAGCAATCATTTTGAATTATTGGTCAGGTGAGGAATCTGTACATCTCCTTTTCCTTTAGATAAGTTGCTGGAAGAGTGTGGTTCCATTGGTGTGTATACGCGTGTGTGTGTGAACTTCTTGTTGCTTTGTGCTAAGTCTGCACATCTGCAGAGCACGGCTGTTAGAGACTGGTCTCAGTGGGCAAGGCATGTCATTGATGAGGGTGTGACATGCCAGCCAGCGAGGTGGAGCCTAGCGCTTTGGGCTCTGGGGAGGATACAACAACCAGATCCGTGTGTAGCTCTGTCTGCAGAGCAGACATTGTGGCCGTCAGTGGCTGAGGATACCGTTTTCTGCACCAGTCACAAGAGCTGCTAAGCTCTTCAGTGGTGACAGCTGTTGCTGCTTTTTCTCCAGTGCAGAAGTCACATTGAGAAGACCGCTCTTGGTGTCAGGTGTAGCTTGTAGCACTGGTGCTGGTGTGTGAGCTGTGGGCAATTTTGGAGCCCTGGGAGGGGAGGAATGTACTTTAATAGCCTCAGAGCACACCTGAGGTGTGGGGCTTGGGTACTCCCTCTGTGGCCCTAGCTTTGGTGCCCTTGATGTGGCTGTCTGCCTGGGTGTCTGGGAGTCTGCAGACTGCTGTTGCTCTGGAGTCTGGGTTGCAGATGCACCTGTTACTGTAGTGACTCTGGGGTCCACAACACAGGCATTTAGGGACCAACCAGAGAGCCAGACATGGAACTCAGGATGTGAGGCGGCTCTGAGGTCCAGGGTGTAGGCTGCCTCACCATGCAGCCTTGATGCGTGAGGTGTGGGCATGCATATGGCTGCTATGGTGCTAAGCCTTACAGAGCAGGTGTGCACCCTGGGACAGCAGCTCCAACATCTGACGCATGTGTGAGTCTAGGGCAGTGGCGGTCCTGGGTCAGCACAGTAGTGACTTCCTTGAAGCAGGAGCACAGTAAGATCTCCCTCTTCCCATTCACATGGCAATGGCAGTTGGTTAATTCCATTGTGGAAAATCACCAGAGTCCTGTGTGGAGCAAGCTGCTGAGGTCTTTGTGGATGAACACTAAGGGCACAACCAGTGTGGGAGCTACAGGAAGTCATAGCAGGGAGGCCTCTGAAGTTCCCCACAAGGACTGCTGAGGTCCTTTGCAGAGCAGTCCTCTGGGGACCACAGTGGTATCAGCCATATGCCTGGTCCCGAGCACCTCCAATTCCTTTATTACTGGCCATCTCCAGAGTTCACACTTGCTAACATCTCCATGATTACTCCAATTCTAGTTTTTGTTCTATCATGTTGATGCGGGTTCCTGCCTAGATTATTGAACTGTGCTAGAAGTGTTAATTTTGTGGATAGCTTCCCTTGGTAGTGGTGGCAGCAGGAGATGATGGGTATCTCCTACTCTACCGTCTTGCTCACGTCACATCTCTATCTCTACTCTCGTAGGGATACTCATCATATTGATTAATCCACCCATATGGCCTCACTTATTAACCTTAATTAGTTCTTTAATGGTCTCATCTTCAAATGAGGTCACATTCTAAGGTATAATAGGGGATAGGATTTCAACACATAAATTTGGAGGGAACACAATTCAGCCCATAACTGACCTGTCAGAAATTTTTCTGCTCTTCATAGCAGCTTAAAATATGTATCTCCCACAGGTAATATATATTTCTGTATATACATTGATTTTAATTCTGCAACAATCCAGTTTTCAATAGTTTCACCATGTATAAAATTATTTGCCTCTAAAGTTAATAACTAGTTAGTTTTGATAACAATTTTTTAAAAATACAGACATGGATATGCCTATACCAATGTACAAAAACTACCAATATTTTGAATATAGTAAACTACTGCAATTCCATCATTTTAGGAACCCAAATTTTTGGTACTTAAAATAATATATTCATACCTGAAAACCAAAGAAAGATGTTATTTCCTAGATCTTCTTTAAATTGATCATTAAAGATGTTACTAGATTCTGGAAATGCTTCTAGGAATGTTGCATAGATAGCTTGTGTCAAACAATCAGGAAATACCTACCAAATGGAGTCATATTAGGTTAATTTATATTTTATATATATTAACTACCTAAGAAATTATTACTTTGTAAATGTGTATAATTCTAATAGCTTGCATTTAACCATTTTATTACTCTTTGTAACTGTGAGGGACATGAATAAAGAAGGGTTGAAAATCAACAATAATTATGGGCATTTGTGAAAAAAATTAATTTCAATAAAGTAACAATTAAGACAGTTTGATTAGCCCTTTATTTCATTTAACCTTACTATTATTAGCTCCTTTAAGAAAATGGTATATGCACCACAAATATTTTCAAATAAACTAGAGCTTCTGTAGTTGGGCTTACATGTAGTAATCAGTATGGTTTAAATATTAAAATCATAACCAAATATCACCAAATATATGGAACTACCAATATCCCACAAGTTTTCAAATTTCTAAACAAGTTTCTCTCAGGAGTCTCTAAACAATAGATGGGTATTATACTTCAATATTAAAGAAAATTTACGCCATTAAAATTTTGGTATTCTGCATTCAGATGGGTACTTACAGTCACACGTTAAGCCTTTAATGGTACAACATGTTAGAACTGGCAGGGTCCTGAAGGGCTACTGCGGTGGACTGAATAATGGACCAGAATATAAACATGTTCTAGTCTCCGGACTCTGTAAAGTCATTTTATATGGCAAAGAGCTTTGCAGATATAACTGAAGACCTCGGGAGAAATGAACTTGGATTACTGAATGTGCTCTAAATGCACTCCCGAGTGTAATCCTCAAAAGAGGGAGGCTGAAGAGAATCAGACAGAGAAGAGGGGAGGCAGTGTGGCCAGAGAAGCAGAGCTTGGACCAAAGCATGGTAAACCAGGGCGTGTGGTGGTCACTGGAAGACCAGTGAGGTGAAGAGTGGATTCTCTCCTGGGGCCTCCTACAGAAAGCAGCCTTACTGACACTGTGATGTTAGATCTCTAAGATTCACTTTAGACTTCTGACCTGCATAACTAAGGGAATTAATTTCTGCTTCTTTAAATAACTAATTTCTCAAAATCTGTTACAGCAACAATAAGAAAGTAACATGGTTACCTAATCCAGTGGTGCTCAAATTGCTCGTAAACTATATTTCTTTTAAGCCTTCCATGATGTTTTTGGGAGCAGGAATGTGGGTGGCAAAGGAAACAACTCTGCAGTACACCGATGGACTTAATTTCATGGAATGAACCATCAACATCTTACTACCAGATATAATCGCATATTATATTTTAGGACTATAAAATTATATCAGTGATGACAATTAAAATATTTTCTTTTCTTTTTGTGGTCCTGGGGATTGAACACTGAGACTTCACACCCTAAGTCACTAAGTTGCCGAGTCTGGGTTCAAATTTCAGTCCTCCTGCCTTGGCCTCTAGGAGCTTGGGGTTACAAGTGTGCGGTTCAGCTCAAATAGGAGAAATAGCTAAAGTCTTTTGTGAACATCCTACTTTCTGGAGACGAAGGAAAAGGACACTAAGTGCCAATCTTTTTGGAAAATTTGTAAAGGAATATCACTGTGTACAGAGGAAGAAAGCAAGGATAATATTTTTATCCTCAAACATCACAAGGAATAACGAAACCCTTGATTAGTTGAATAAGAATGGTATAAATGAGTCAGTAAAAAATAAGGCCCTGTCTTTATTCAAACAGCCTAGTGAAAACAGACAACATCTACATTAGGAAGCTGGCTTGGCCTGCACACAAAAGCAGCAAAAAGCATTTCCAAGAAGACTGAGTACGGTCAACAAGTAAAATCACTAATGTGTGTGCATTTAAAAAAATCCTCAAGTGAGACTTTGAATCCCCTTATATTACTTGTTAATTCATCTTGGAAGAGGCCACTAACAGTAAGTTCAGAGAAAGTCAAGTCATGAGTTGAGAAATATCACAATCACATTATCTGTTAAAAGACACATTCCACTGGAAGGCAGAAGAATCTCAAGTTGGAGCTCAGCTCATGCAATGTCCAGATTTAGTGAGACTCCTAGAGGAAAGATAGTTTCTTTAATAAGTGGTGCTGGAAAAACTGGCTTCCCACAGGCCGAACAAGAACCATGTCTCTCACCATGCACTAAACTAAAGTCAAAATGGACCAAAGATATAAATATTAAAACAAACACTAAGTCTACTGGAAGACAAGGTAGATAGAAGTACTGAAGGCCCAGGGTAGGCAAAGAGCTCATGAACAAAATACAAACTGCATGGAAAGCACTTCAAAAAATCAACAACTGGGATCTCATCTTATTCAAAAGTTCTTGCACATCGAAAGAAATCACCAACATAGTGAGAAGAAAACCCATAGAATGGGAAAAATGTTAGCTAACTGTCCCTCAGACAAAGGACTTCTATCAAGAAGTTAAAAAGAACTGAAAAAAATCAGGGCCCTCCAAATTAAAAAAAAATGGGCATCTGAGATAAACACACACTTCTCAGATGAAGAAATATAAATGGCAAATAAATACATGAAAAAATGTCCAACATCCCCAGTCATTCAAGAAATGCAAATTAAAACAACACTGAGTTTTCATCTCACTTCAGAAAGAATGGCTGTCATGAAGAAATCAATAACAAACAAATGCTAGAGGGGCTGTGTGGGAAAGGGGAACACTTCTGCACTATTGGTGGGCGGGTAGACTGGTACAACTACTGTGGTCATCAATGTGGAGGTTCCTCAAAAAACTAGAATTGGAGGTCCCATTCAATCTAGCTATTCCTCTTCTGAGTATCTTCCCAGAAGAACTGAAAACATCATACCATAGCAGTATATGTACACCTATGTTTATAGCAGCATAAATTATAATAGCTAAATCTTGGAAACAACCCAAATGCCCATCAATTGTGGAATAGATAAAAAAAAGATGTGGTATTTTTACACAATGGAGTATAACTATAAAGATCAACTTGAAGACTTTACAGGTAAGTGGATGCAACTTGAGACCATACTCACAAGCAAAATAATTCAGACTTGCATGTGTGCATATCGTAGTATATCACTAGTGTAAAAAAATCTGAAAAAGTAAATAAGATCCAAAACGTACAACAGATATTGTGAAAATGAAAAGGAAAGAAAGTGCTCAAAAGGAAGAAAAACTGGGATGGGAAAAGGAGAAAAGAAAGAAGGAAAAGATTATATATATAACTAACTCTGTTCATAAAAAAGATTATATATATAACTAACTCTGTTCATAAAAAAGAACAGTTTGGGCTTTCATTGTTTGATCATTTTTTTCATGCCTAAATCTTGTAAATTTGAATAACTACTTTGAAGACAACAATATTCAATATATTAACTAGACTGTGAGACTCTTAGGTAACAGAATACAGTATTCTTGGAGGTGGTAATAGGGACTTAACTTCTAAAATATCACCACTATTTACATCTGACACCATTGCTCTCCAAAGCAACAACATGTATTCTCATGTTAGAATAATCATTGTTCTATTTTATTCTAAAAATAGTTAGCATAATATTGATTTCTGTGTTTACCTGAAAGAATGCATCTTTTCTGCTGAGAGGTATGCTCATGAAAAGTGTCACATAACTTTCTGCAATTCTATCAAATAGACAATCTTGATCTTTTCTGTGAGGCTTAGAAATAAAATACAATAAATTAAAGTTAATACTACAATTGATAATGGGAACATGAATTTTTCAAATGTCTTTTAATTCTGTTGGAGAGCTAGACGTCAGTAGCTAGGTCAGAAGAAACTGAGGTATGTATTATTTGTGCTTGGCAACAGGCATACCTCCTTTGTTAGCCTTTGGGAGCATGTATCAATTAAGAAGTGCCAACCTGTGTCTGGGTTTTGTTTCTGCTTTGGTTACACAGTAAAACACAGACTTCAAATTCCTTTTGCACTACCTTATTTGAATGATTCCTAAAGAACACTGTTTGACTTCATTAATTTTTCTCCAGTTTCCTGTTTTCTGTTTTTGTGTTGACATTTACTCTGATCATTATTACTTCCTGTCTTTTGATTGCTTTAGGTTTCATTTGTTCTTTTTCTACTTCATTAAGGTAGAAGCTGTGATCATAGTTTTTTAGAACTTTTTTTCCAAATAGAGGCATTTTTAATGTTCATATAATTTTCTAAAATTGCTTCAGTTACATCCCACAAATTACAATTTCTGTTTTCATTTTCATTTAGTTCAGAATAATTCCAGATTTGCTGCGTCATTATTATACATGTGCTACTTCTAGATATTTAAAGATCTTTCCATCTCTCTCCCAGCTGCTCATGTATAATGTAATGCCATTGCACTGGTCAGCTTTCTTGTCGTTGAGACAAAACACCTGACACCTGCAATTTTAAAAAGTAGAGGTTCATTTTGGCTCATGGTTTCTGAGGTGCCAGTCCAAGGTCTGCTGGTTCCAAGGTACAAACAGTATAGTGAAAGAAAGAAAGATGTTCAGCTCAAGGTACCTGGGAAACAGGGAGCAGGAAAATATCCAGAGGAGGAGGAGGTGGCAGGGACCAGATGCAGTTCCCAAGGTTACACCCCTGTGACCATGCAGACATCTCTAGAAATGTGTTTTTCTAACTTCTTAAGTATCTCTCAAGTCAAGCAAGTTGAAAGTCAAGATGAACCACAACTACCATTTTGTCTGAAAACGTACTTTGCATGACTATGGCTTGAATTATTAGAAATTTAGTGGAATGTTTTCCTAGCTTATGGAGTGTCTTGGTGAATATTTAATGTGTATGTGAATTTTCACTATTCTGAATCATGACAAGACCTTTTCTCGATTTGATCTGTAGACTTTTTTCCAGATTGAACCTTCTCTAATGTCACTGGGCTGCTGCAGGCTTTTTATTTTAGTGTTTACTACCACATACTAATGTTAAACAAAGTTACAACTTTATTATTCTTTATAGTATTTGATTTCACTAATCCTTTTCTGATTAATGAAGATTTGGAATCTTGGAAATTCACAATAAAGCCTTAATTCCTGTGAAAAAGGAGACATTAGACAAAAATTTTTTAAAAATTTTATTTAAAGAAAGACTAACCAAAACAGAAAATAGGTAGAAATAATACGTTCAGAGAAAAAAATAAACAGTAAGAAATCACTAGTTGATGTTTACATATTGTTGTTTTACAAATAGTTGTTCAAGATACAAAAATGGAACATAAAGTGGGAATTCAAACAGCGAGACTGCAAACAGTTCTGTTCAATTATCCAACAAAAACTTAGTAACATGGTTGTCAATACTATACACTTAAATATACATGCAGTTATCCATATCTTCATTTATGTTTAGATTTAACAAACTAAAGCAGGTTAAAATCATTCTGAACAAAGAATAATAGTATTGCTGAATTTTACATCAGGACACTCTGTGATGAGCACTGGGTACTGTAGTGTCTTTTTTTAGAATTTAATTTAAAGAAAGACTAACCAAAACAGAAAACAGGTAAAAATAATACATAATTTCAAAGAAAAAAATAAATAGTAAGAAATCACTAGTTGATGATTACGGATTGTCTTCCTACAAATAGTTATTCAAGATAATAAAGTGGAGCTTATAAAGTGGGGATTCAAACAGTGAGATTGCAACCAGTTCTGTTCAACTATCCAGCAAAAACTGAGAAATATGGTTATCAATTCTATACACTTAAACATATATGCAGTTATCCATATCTTCAATTGTGTTGAGATTGAATAAATCCAAGCAGGCTAATATCACTCTGAACAAAGAAAATACTATTGCTGGGTTTCACACCATGACACTTCAGGATCAGCACTGGGTATTTTAGTGTCTCTTTTTCTTCAAAGTATCTGTTCATTTCATCATGTGTCATAAGATCATTTCTCATAAACTGTTATAGATTCTACACATGCATGAGTCTTAACATGTATTTCTATCCCTTCTATATAAGAGGGAGAAACAAAACAAAGCAAGACAAAACAAAACAGATTCCTATAAACACATGAAATGAAATAAACATATAAGACCATTGTACAAGGAGTTCTATCATGGTTCCTGTGTTGTCTCTTGTTATCACCAATAGAATTGGCTATATCGTCAGACATAGTATAATTGAATATATCAGTATATAGCAGTATTCATAAAAACACAACTTTGTATATAGTATAGAACTTCAAAAAACCAGCAGTTATCAAACCAGAATGTGTATCGTAGAGTCTTCTCATCTTCAGTGTAGTTGCCTATACCCTCAGACTTGATACTATCAATCATATCAGTTTTGAATAAAATCTTCTCTGCCTCATTCCTGTTATGCTCTTTTTTTGCCATCAGTTTTCTACTTATCTTCTTCATTCTGTTTTCTGTTCCATTCATTGAGGCCTCTCTGCCACTGTTCCTGGAATCCTAGTACTTTTCTCTCTCTCTAGAATGCCCTGCAGTATTCTCTGTAGAGTTGGATTGGTGGTTGTGAATTTCCCAAGTTCCTCTTTGCCTTGGAAGCATCTTGTTTCTCCATTAACTTCAAGAGACAGTTTAGCAGGTTATACCAATCTGGGATGGAGGTTATTTTCTTTCAGAATATTTCACTCCAGGCTCTTCTTGACTTGGTTTGTGTCGAGAAGTCTGCTTTTATTCTGATGGGCCTTCCTTTATAGGTGATCTGTTTCTTATTTCTAACAGCTTTTAATATTCTGTTCTTATATTGAATTTTTGGGATCTTGATCATTATATGCCTGGGTGCAGCTCTGTTTTGGTTGTGGTGGCTGGAGTTCTATATGCCTCATATATCAGAATATCATTTCCCTTTCCTATATTTGGGAAGTTTTACTTAATTATTTCTGTGAATAACCTTTGTCGTTCCTTTTTTTGTACCCCAGCTTCTTCATTCACATTCTTTATTCTCAAGTTATAGATCCTTTTGTTGTCTTTTAGCCTTTGTATTGTTACTGCTTGCTTCCTTGTTATTTTTCAAAAGTTTTCCCTTTCATACTCCCACATTGCAAAATTGTCCTCCAGTTTTGGATAATCTATCCTTTGTTTCTTTCAAGCTGATTTGTCATCTTTCCATAGAGTTTTTAATTTACTGTTGATCTCTTTGAATCTGTTTCATGTATTCTATTTTTTTATATTCTTCATCAAATGGTTCTCTCCTTTGTTTGAGTTCCTCTTTCTTCCATCTGTGTCTGCTTGAAGGGTGCTTAGTATCTTTTATTAATCTTCTTATATCTTGCTTTATTTAGCTAAATATTTCACTTTTGAAGTCATCTTTGAGTTCCTGAATATATCTCTTTATATCCACTGGCTCTGTGTCTGATATTACATGTTTGCTGTTCTCATTCTCCTTTGTATTTACCTGTCCTGGGTCAGTGTTCTCAGGGTTGGGACCTGGGGACTTTTTGTTGTTGCTTCCTCTTCCTATCTTTTTTGTTTCTTCCAGGAGGTCCCAGTTTCTTTCTTTGTTGGTTACAATTATTCTGAAGCACTAGCTAGATGACCCTTCCCACTGCCATGTGCTAGTGAGTTGCAGACAGGCAGAGCGAATGCTGGCCCCTCTCCTCCAGATCAGTCAAGCTGCTGCAGCCTGCACTGTATTACTTTGCACTGCCTCCCCTCTATGTCAGTCAAGCTGCTGTGGCCTGCACTGTGTTACTTTGTGCCGCCTCCCCTGCGAATCAGTCAAACTTCTGAGGCTTCACTGGGTTAGTGTGTGCCACCACTGTAGGGACTTGATTTCAGATAACCAATTGGGTCTCAGCCAGGTCACATGATCCAGGCCTAGCTCATTCCACTAATCCCGTTTGGCATTAGACAAAAATTTTAACACATGTGGAATGCTTAAAAATGAGTCTTTGTGAAAATACCCAGAAAAAGTTCTGGTGTTACCTCTATTGAAAAGTTTAGTATGCTACAAATCAACTCATAAAAAAGATGTCATTTACCTTAAATTTATACAGAAACCACCACCAAAAGCAGTCATGCAAAAGAGCAATGGAGGCTTCTGAGAGGAAATGCGTTTTCCAAATCCTAAAAACTTTTTGCTAAGGAAAAAAGAGGTATGAGGATGTCAAATTTAAATATATCACAACACATGTTAATACAAATATACCTTATAAATTATATGTATTTAATGGCTATAGACCAGTATTGTTTGACAATACCTAGCATCAGTCACATATCTATCAACCAGAAAATATATACATATATTTTTTTTTCTAGTAGATATAGTAAAAAGGTGAAAGGTGAAATTAATTTTAAGGATATACTTTATTGAACTGAATATATTTAAAATTCTGCCACCATCTATTTGACATAATTGTAAGTAATGACACATTTTTATTTTTTGATACCAGATCATTGAAATCGTATGTTTTGAGGTATATTTTAGGGTATTAATGTATTTATACTTGTAGCATATCTCAACTATATTTATCAAAAAGTACTAGATCAATATTTAGACTTCATAGTTGTAACTTCATTCCAAAAATAACTGACAATTTTTTAAATAACTAAGTCATTCTAACTTTTAAACTTGTGTGTAAATTGATTGAAAGAAATAAAATAACAAATTCAGGTCCTTACTCATACTGGCTATATTTCAAATGATCAGTTTTGCTAGTGGTACTGAAAAGATGGTAAAGGACAGACCAAGAGCAACAAAATTATAAATTTATGCCATAATTCCTCCTCTTTTTTCTTGAAGACAAGTATCAACAATGGAACATGGAATTTTATCCAAATAGGTCCCCTTAATGAATCTGTCTACATGTGGATTTCTCTTATGTAGACAACACCAAAACGGTACATAAGATTAAGTCTATTTATTACATAACACTTTAAACTATAAATTCTGGTTTAAATAGGTAGATTCACCAGATCATTTTATGCTCTTAGTTCTCCAATTTTTAAATGCTGGATTCAGTAGAATCCAACATTTTTTTTTTTGAGGAATACATAAATATAATTTCCTATTCCTCCAATGCAAGTCAACAGAAAGGACAAAAGCAAAATTCATACAGCAGAACAATTCTTTATCACACACTCAGCAAGGTACTTCTTGTGCTTGGACCACTAAATATCCTATGAACTTTACTGGTATGAGTTTTAATTTAGATTTGGTCATCTTTAACTACAAAGAACCTATATGATGTATATAAACATGAGAAGCAGGCAACTGAAATACAGAGAGGGGAATAAATAGGTTATTTATTTCAGCCTATTCCTGGCAATCCTTAGCCTTTGTTCTAGTTGCCTTTCTATTCTTGCAATTTTTCTTCACTTGCAGCTTTTTATCAATTGTGTAGAGATACTACACAAAAATACTATTATTTAAAAGGACACACAGAAGGCTGGTGGAGAAGGGCTGTGATGAGTGCTTTCAGGGGTCAGAGTAGAACGTTAAACCAGCCCAAGCTGATGGAGCAGGAGGAGATAGGGGAAAGCGCCTGTCTGCCGTCAACCCCAGATGCCCAAGGCACTAGCATAGTGTCTAATGCTGGCCCTGCTGGTGAGCGGGGAATTAGACAACACTGGTCTCTCCTGCAAAATTTAGTTTCAAGGATCAAATCTTTCTCAACACCAAACTATCACAGTTTCAAAGATCCTATTTAATAAATCATATTCTCATGGTTTATTATAAAATAAAATATTTACGTACATCAAAGTTATAAGCTTTTAAAATAAAAAGATAAACTCGTTTAGCATCCAAATGTCTGGGTAACTCAGTAAGTTCATTTGCTTTGAATCCTGAGAAGTTGAAACCCTAGAAAAAAGGAACAAACAGGAAAATATTTCATTCTCAGTAAAATATTCCCACATGACTGTAGAAGGCAGGTAAATACTAGACTGTCAATCAAGTGATGAGTATTTACGTTGCTACATTAAGTAATCAATATATATCTCTCTCCTACAGAAATATCTTCATGTTATCTACTTTGTAAAATTAAGAGCCCTTGCACAATCACAGGTTAACTTGACAAGAAAATAAGGCTAGGGGATGTAACTAAGTAGCATAAGTGCCAGCCTGGCAAGCATAAGGTCCTGAGTTGGATTTTGGGTACAAACAAACATAAAGTCATATTTCAGAATACATTCTGATAGATACTCAAATGATTAAGAATTTTAGCTAGACTATATACAAAGAAATATGAACTAGGCAGAAAAGAGGCAGTTGCTATTTCCCATTCTATCCTGGCTCTTCTACCTATACAGCTATATCTATATTATTGTGAACACTTTTAGACCCAAACAAATATTTCTGATACACAACTGGGCAGAATAAAAAATTTAAATACCTCTATGTTCTTTTCTGTTTCCATCCCATCTGAAAGCTGTAAAACATTTTAAAAAGAAATCCTTTAAACTCAGTCCAATAAAACATACTTGACAGTAACATTTACTAAAGTTTTTGTTAATATAGCTAATCTAAAGATAATTTCAAGAAATCCCAGAAAGTCATCTGATAAAATTCAGCAGCGAGAATTTTAAACTTCTTTTGAATACAAATTTTAACTAGTAATACAACTACCAGTGTTCCAATGTCCTCACATTCAAAAATAGATTATCATTGATACATTAGCATTTTATTCAAGACTATAGTTGTAGGGAAAATTCTCCTTTCTGGATTCTCCTCCTGGAGAAAACAAGAGCCTTTTTTTCTCCTTCTTTATTTCCAATAAAAACTTTCCTAACTTCCTCCTTCTGGTTCAAAATTTCATTTGCCAGCATTGTGAGACCGCAAACTCAGCTTAAGTTTTATTATTTTTCGGTACTAGGGATTGAACTCAGGACCTTGTGCTTGCTAGGCAGGCGCTTATGCCACTGAGCTATATCCCTGTCACCAAACTCAATTTATACTGAATTAACAGTTTCATATTTTGGAGGTCCCACCAAGATTTGAGATTAACAGGAGGGAAGCCCCAAATGAGAATTTTGCGATATGCTCCTGTTAGACATGATTACATTCAGGAGGGAGGAGGTAGGCGAGATTTGTGATTTCTTACTTTTTTTTCCTCTCTGGATAGCCTTATGCTTCTTTCATCATTTCCCTCATGGTAGGGTAGATTTGCAGACAACACACCTCGCATAAAAATGCGGGATCCTGCCACCCAACATTTTACAAGACGATAAGTAGTAAAGCCGCCACGCTTAAATCTCAAGGGAAGGTTTCACTGGGACAGTATGACATGCACCCTCATCAGTACCCCTGCCCCACACACATGGAGAGGGAATGTTGAGCCTGTTCTGCCTCAGTTTCTTTTCCAATTGATTCTCTGCTGGAGAGGGAGCAATTTTAGCTCTCGATGTTCTCCTGAGACAGACAGCTCTTGTGTGAACTGTCCCAGGAACTCAATGTGAATCCCTCTTAATGCCTACTTTCTCCTGCTGCTGTTTTGTCTCATTTTTTTTTTTTTTGAGGTTCATTTACTAAAGACCAGAGAAACTCATGCTGTGAACTTTTTAGTCCCAGTTTGTCTGTCTTTCTGCCCTTAGGGTGAGGCTGGAAACTAAGGACTATCTCCGCTCCTTTCACCTGCCCCCCTAAAAAATGCCACTTTGGAAGGTACTTTTTTTTTCAAGGTTGCATCGGTGATCATGTTAGGGGGTCTAAAATCACCATGTAAATGGAAACAACAAGCATGTGCTAGACCCCTTCTACTGGGATCCACTGGATCAACCCTCTGAAGGGGGTCTTAACTCCAAGTGACTCCTTCAAAGTCCCCTTAGATTAATTGCTTGGGGAAAATTCCTAATGCCACCTCCTCAGGCACTGACCCCTTTCAGCAGGAAAGAGCTATGCTTGGTCTCCACCCTTTTTCCCCTAAGGGCACTAAGGGATACTTCTTTTTATTTGTTTAGCTTATGACTCAGGCAGCTAGTTAGAGAAAGGGCCTGAGGCAGAGTTGGAATCAGCCATGTGGGTAAGAATTAAAATAAGAACAGACCCTGAGCTAGGACTTTGGACCAAGAATGAATTTCCTCAGGCAAAGTGGAACACAGTCCCCTCCTGACTAAAGGGGAGTCGCAGCCACTTTCTACAAAGTTCCCCAAATGGGAAATAGCCAGTTTCTCCCTACAAATCCCTATTTCCTTTAAGCTGTGCACGTATTCTGAGTTATTGAGCCTGAGTTCTAACTGGGTTAGAGAGCGTGGGTTCGGACAGGGCTAGAGAGCCTGGGTTCTGACAGAGCTAGAGAGCCTGAGTTCTGACTGTGTTGGAGAGCCTGGGTTCTGACTGGGCTAAAGAGCCTGGGTTCTGACTGGGTTGCAGAGCCTGGGTTCTGACTGGGTTAGAGAGCCTGGGTTCTGCCTGGGCTAGAAAGCCTGGGTTCTGACTGGGTTAAGAAAGCCTGGGTTCTGACAGCGTTAGAGAGCCTGGGTTCTGACTGGCTTGGAGAGCCTGGGTTCTGACAGGGCTAGAGAGCCTGGGTTCTGACAGGGCTGGAGAGCCTGGGTTCTGATTGGGTTAGAGTTTGGGTTGTGACTGGGTTAGAGAGTTTAGGTTCTGACTGGGTTGGAGAGCCTGGGTTCTGACAGGGCTAGAGGGCTTGTGTTCTGACTGGGTTGCAGAGCCTGTGTTCTGACTGGGTTAGAGAGCCTGGGTTCTGACTGGTCATTTTAAAGCCATAGTCATTTTTGACCAGCGGCCACTAAGGGACCAAGCAGGGTCACGTGCTCTGCTTCTGCATGGAAGGCTCTGGACCCAGGGGCCTTGTGGAGATTTCTCATTTCAGGGTCTCTTCCTGGAGAAACCTGGAGCTGTGTTTCCCCCTTGTTATTTCTAACCAAAATTTTCCTAACTTAAAAAAAAAAGACTACAGTTTGAAAGTAAAATGTGAAGCTTATATATAAAGATTAGAAAGTTTGGATTCCAGTTCACCAAGATCTCTATTCTAGCCCTGTGTTCCCTCTTTAAGAAAATCATTATAAGTTTTTGCTTTGTATCCATTTCATTATAAATACTTATATACACAATGTACATAAGACACACACACTCATAAGAGACTTTGTGTGTCTTTTCAAATGTAAAGAAATATATAAAGAAATGGTAATTATATATTTTATTTTGTTTGCTTTTTCACTCAATATTAGGTTTTCACATTCTACTAATTCTATTTATGCATAGTTAGTAATTTTCATGTAATTATTTTTTAATCAGCCTAAGCATTTCCTGCTGCACAATATGAATAATAAATCAACAGGAGTTTGTAGACAACTCTTGTTAAACAGTCAAAGGGCAAATGGTGTCTTTATATTGTATAAATTATTTTAGAGTAGAAAGAGAAGTAAAGCTAAGTACCTTATTTTCTAGGATTATATGATTTTGAAACCAAAAACCAACTACAAATGATATAGGAAAATGTAATCACATCTTAAACCAGTAATAAACTAATAGCATAATGGAAAAATAATCTCACTGACATTACTGATGAAAATTTGAGATATTTAGGAAAAAATGGTACAGTTAAGTATAAATTGTCTAAGATAGAGACATGTTTATATTTCTTTAATACTACAATAAAAAATATTTTTAAAAATGAAAGTTTTGTTACTTAAATGCATTAACTGTATGATGTATTTTATATGTAGCCTAAGACAATTCTTCACTCAGAAGTGGGCAAAAACTGTGAGCTGCCCATGGGACATGACAAACAGATGCATTCAAAATAACAGGCTGACAGTTTTAATTGCCTTCCAATAAATCCAAAATGGATTAAAAAAGTAAATATTTTTAAAATTGTAAGCTAATACAAAATATGATAAGTAACCACATCTATGACCATATGATAAAGAATCCCTTAGGAAATACTGTGTCACCAAAGACTGAAAATTTGAAAAACAATTACATATTCATAGAAACATAAAACTCTGCATAGTCAAAACTACTTTTTAATTAAGTTATTTGAGTTGAAAATGTTGCTATCAAGTTATCAAATATTAAAAAGTATTTAATCTTGTCAAGAAGCTGAGTGAGAAATCAATTGTGGGGGGCTGGGGATTTAGCTCAGCGGCATAAGCGCCTGCCTTGCAAGCAGGCAGTCGTAAGTTCGATCCCTGGTACCGATAAAAACGAAAAACACAAAAAAAAAAAAAAAAAAAAAAAAGAGAGAAATCAATTGTGAGCTACTGATAAAAATAGGAATTTGTGCTTTGCAGAGAGCAATAGAGCAGGGCATGTCAGAACACTTGGAATTTCACAGTCGCTTCTGGAAGCTTATTTTAATCGTTACAGATAAGCACAGTCTTCAACTCTAAATATTTTGACATCAGCTTTGTGAGTGATAACAAATAGTGAAAATTAACTTCAATGTCCAACAAAAGTTTATCGTATCATTTTAAAATGATATAGAATAATATTTTTTCATAGAAACTTAATAATGAATATATTTAATTAGAAAATGTAATTCAACCCAATTTTTCTTAAAAACGAAATGAATTACATATGATTATCTATAAGTGATGAGCTTATGATGCTAATTTCTATTTTTTGATTCCTAAATCACTACCTTAGTAATTTATAATGAAAAATAAACATCAAAACTTATTTTGAAATTTAAAATAATGTTAAATGAGGTAGGCAGTCTAATGGTAACAAATAGTTAAGTATTTAGAGCTTTAAATTATGTAATTTTAGAATGTATTTTTGAAAATAATTAAGCATATGTAAATAATTAAAAGTCTATTTAGAATGTCAGTGAAAATCTTAAGATTTTTAAAAACTGACAATGTAAAAAAAGGTCATGAAGAGAATTGTTTGCTTCTAAATGAAGAGGACTGACATGGGACCTGTAATACTAAGTTTATTGAAAATTGTTAAATAATAAAAACATGAAATATATGTACATTAAAATAAATTGTAATGGCTTGCAGTGTAGAGGTGAGGGTAGGGAGGGAAGGGAAAGAGGATGTAAAAAAGAACTAAAATGTGTTATGTACACAAAGCAACTGCTTACACTGAATGTAATCAGTATATGCTGCAAATGTGTACTAATAAAAATTTAAATTTAAATTTAAAAACGTAATATTACAAAGATTCTGATATATTGAGTATAAAAAAGGGATGTCTAGATATTTTTAAACACAGAGAATTAATTGTTAGATAATGAAAGACAAAAGGAATAGTTTTGAAAATGTTGTCAGTGCTTGTCTGTGGAATGATAGCTTATATTTTTTGTGAAAATACAATTTTTGAAGGATGATAAAAACATAACTATCATACCATTATCTTCTTTTGTGTTGAGTACTTCTTTAGAAATGCCTTGTATCTTTTCAAGTTTTCATATGAACCTTTAAAAAAAGAATTTACGTCATTTAAAAATGAAGCAAATTCTAAATATTCAAAAGTTATACATGAAATTATCCAATGGGGTCTTTAGTGATTTTGATAAGCATATTAGGAACATTCTTAATGAACTGGAAATATTAGGTACCTCCTGTTTTCTTTAGTTTTTCTGAAATCTCATGCTGCATCTAACCTGTTTATAGAACTCACTTCTATATGTAAAGTTTCATCTCAATCGGTTATACCGGACAGAGCCACACGTTTCAATAGCACCTTCACTTAGCTCACGTTGCTTCACAGTTGCCTTAAGTTCAGTGAAGTGCTATCCTACTGTGCGTGGCCTAGTGAATGAGAATGGGGTTTTCAGGTCAGACAACAGAGACCTTCATCTCTGATCTCTAAAACATTTTAAAAGGGGAAAGTCATAAAGAAATACATTCATATTTTTCTCTTATACTTTATTTCTTTTAAAAAAGAATATACGTGTGTATGCAAGCCATATACATCTATATGTATACATATATATACACAGTTTATATACCTATATACACATATTGTGCATACATACTTTTTCCTAAGTACATATATACTTTATATAAATTTAAAACTTGATAAAATTTTTAAAACATGAAAATTTAAAATAAATTTAAAACCAGTATAAACACATTTTCAGATTTTGAAAAATCTAAAGTCAAAAAAGGATATAAATATTTAAAGAATATAGCAATCAAATATATCTAATATACAGAAAATACTTTATAATAATAGCCAATATCATATGTTTCAAGGCTTCCATGGGACAAGTTTTCCCATTAAATCAGTAAGACAAGAATTACTGTTAGTATTTAAAACTATTGTGGAAGTGTTAGTCAATGCACTTTGAGAAGAAAAAAGTTGAACAAATGCTAAAAATGAAACATTACCATTGTTTCCAGATATACTTTGTGCTCAGCTCGCTGATCTCATACTGTACGCTAAGCACGCCTATAAGCCTACAACTCTGCCCACATAGTTAACTCTCACCCCTTTTACTTTTGGTTTTGGAAATTTCTGTTCTTCTATCCTGACCTTACTGACTTGCTTGTTTCTCATAATGTCAGTAGAAGTCATCTTATTTCCCTAATTTTTGCTACCTCCACTCCTTAACAAAGTTCGTAACTGTTTTAGTCTTTGCTCTAACAATGGTCTCTTTAGGACAACATATTGTATGTTTAGCTAAAAGTCTGTATTAGACCCATCTTAGCACATGGTATATTTTTTCATTTTAAGATTTTATTCAGTAAGATCCCTTTATGAGAGCATGCAGACAGATTGATACACACATACACACAGCTGAGCATTACTTTAGCCAGGTAAGAAATTTAGGCTTACTTGTCTTGGAAATCATGTTACTCTGCTCAAATAGTTTGGAAGCATGGTGCTGCAAAGCAAGTGAGCAGTCCTTTAATCTTGAATCCATGATCGTGATCGTTTCAAATATTCGAGGGACATTATTCCACAGCTGAGTATAAATTGAATTAAATGAACTATCTTCTTTTATATTTTTCAGAGTGCACATCCACTCATCATCTTCTGTCCAGCTAATTTCCCTGGGCCAACAATCCTGCAAAAATATGAAAGAGATGAAACTACTTAATCACTTTTAATAAATTTTCAGAGGAACCTAGAACCTCTTGCCTTTGGGGAAAAAAGTATTAAAAAGACACACACGCGGCCCTTTCCCAAATCCTGAAAATAAATTTCTTAAAATGCAACAACTAGGGGAAATTTTCTAGTATAAAAAACAACTGACAACAAAATAAAAATCTACAAAGATCTCAGAATAATAGCATAAGATCACAGGATAAAATCTGAAGAAAAATGCTGTCCATTTAGAATGACAGCTGCAAATAAATAATAATCTTGTGTGTCCTGTATTGCTATCATTAGTGCAGCCAAGGAAGCAAGGTGAGGCTAAAAGGGATTTGAGAAGACCTTACGATATGTGAAAACCTTTATGAAGATGCACCCTGAAAGCCAGCCTGCAGATATCATGTCTTTATTCCCAAGATTCCAAAGCATACTGGTCAAGCAGGTTTTGCTTGAAAATGTGAAACATGACATATTTCAAAATCTAAAACTTGTTGAATGCTGAGCTAACACCACAAGTGGGAAGTTCTAATTCTGATCTCATTTGACAAGCTGTATTCAAAATATACATTACAACATATAGTATATTCTGTGCCCTCTGGGGAGAAGAAATTCCCCGCTCTTCTCCTTCAGTGGCATGTGTGTGGCACCTCCAATGCAATCACGTCTACTAACAGTAATAAAATGGCATGCATGCAGCTGGACACACTGATGTGAGCTCACAGCGCTGCACATAGGGACAAGACGTACGTCCTTTACTCACTGTGGTTTTTTGTTTGCTTGCTTTTGTTCTTATTGTCTGATCTGTGGTGTGAAGATGGTGATTTTAAATTGTTTAAAAGCGCGGTTACCTCTATGGGTAGTGGTGGTCAGACAGTGAAGCTATTGTAGAAACTGGACCATGGTGCAGTGTGAACCACCTTACGGACAAGAACAGTGCCAGAACCATGACGCCTGTGACCTGAAGCAATCAAGGGACTAACCAGGGTCCCAGAGCCATTAATACCCAGAATGTGATGTCTGGACAAGCCTTGATTCTTTTACTGAGTTCTTTGTGGTTTGCTGTGAAGTAGATCCCAGTTGATGTTCTTGAAGTAGATAATATTTTACAGTAGATCACAATCGCTACCCCCATCTCTAAGTACTTTCTTCCCCTAAGCCTTTATAGTGTGCTTCAGCCAGAAGCCTCTTGAATAGTGTGCTATCCGAAAAGCAAATTTCAAGCCAGTCCTAACTGTGCAAGAGGCCAAGATGGGAGGACACCTGAGATCAAGAGTTCAAGACCAGCCTGGGCAACATAGGGAACCCTGGCTCAATAGATACACATGCACATGCATTTGCACGAATGTACATGTATGCAAGTTGTGTGACTAGACTGTAGGAAAGGAAATGGGCCAATGGGCACCAACAGGCTGATAAGCCGTCAGGGAAAAAATTATATAATTACTGTCAGAGAGGACATTAATACAACTACAAGTTAAACATCCAGTATCCAAAGTAATCACATTGGTTCAAAGGAAATGAATGCATTCAAATTCTAAAGGAACAGAAAAAGTTGGAATTGGAAACTTTGGTTCCTCACAGAATTCATTTCTCCAATATAGGATGATGGGCCACAGAGATAATGCCAAGAAGACAATTATCTTGCTTAAAACAAGGCCAATGAAGCAGGGATTGCCTAGGTATTTATGTTACTTTAATTATAGTAGTTAACTCTGGCAATGGAAGAAGCATGGATGCTTATACACCAGACAAAACCAGAATGCAAATGAGAATAGATAGACTAAGGGCTTTCCTGAAGCTTGAAGGATTATGTCTCTGGACTATTGTTAGATCTTCATGCACATCCCAGACCCCAGTGATACTGAGTTTCAACAAGATCAGAAGCATGGCTTGAAGAACTGTTAATCCTTCTTCTTCACCTTATGGTTTGATATAAGGAAGGATTTAAATGAAGCAATGGGTGAATGAATGAATGGAAAACAAATAAGAAAAGGCAGGATATTTCTTAAATTACAGAGAGGGGATTGAATCTCTATCATACCTTTGATCCTTTACGAAAAATCACAGTGGAGTATCCCTAAAGTCTAGATTATAAATCTAGCAGGCCAGTGAACAAAAGTGACATTGACGGGCTCCGACAAGATGAGCTGAAGTACTTGTTGGAAGAAGAAAGGAAAAGTGAGAGAATGTGGAATTAAATGTGATATGCAGAGAAGCAAGACACTGGAGACAGCTGTTCAGTTCCTGATGAATGGAAAAATGACCATAATAAACAATGTGAGCATACATTTTTCTATGGACCAGCTCCTATGTTTTCTTCTAGTTGCTCCTCTTCAGTCCAGCACATTCTTTTACTGTAAAATATTTGATTTCATCACATTCTCTCAGCCTGCTATTGTTATATCGGTGTCAACTCCTGTCTTACACATTCATCCACCTAATTATTTTATGACTGCACCATTTGGGAGATATCTTCTGGACCCTAGAGATAGAGTAATAAATAAAACCAACAAAGCTCCTCAATTTTATGGAATTTATGTCTCTCTCCTCTCCTACTTCTCCATTATTTGTTGAGTTTTGCTTAATTTTAATTATAATCATTTTCCTTTGACATTGAAAAAAGGAAAACCGCCAAGAAACATTGACATGGGGCTACAGCACATTCTCAACACCGTTTCAATCAAAATAGTTGCAAGCAGCTTGTCCTAAAAGTACTTCAAAACACTTGGCTCTCCCACAGTGACTGAAATAAACTTTTGTAAACTAGGAATGTTTTCATTTTCTATTGCTCCTAAAGGAAAGTCTTTTCCCAAAACATTAGAGAAAAACATTCATTTAAACAAGTATAAAAATGGAAAAATAGGACTTTAAAAATAGGTATATCTGAAACTGCACTGTCACTAGTTTAGGCATAGCAAATTCCATTTATAGTTAAGCATAGATGTAATTCATTAAAAATGCAAGAACGCCTCATTAAAAAGTTGTCCTTTCTGTTTCTACATAGACATCTTTATTGTCATTCTTAATATACCTCGGTGCAAAATGAATCTGGTCTTTACACTTAGAAATGCATAGACTTCAGAACAAATTTTTTAGCAATGCCAGTAACTTCTCCTGAAGCCAATAGTTATACATAGCAATAGAAACTAAAACTTTTCAATGTAAAAATACATTTTGACTCGTTCATTCTGATTCAACAATTAATATTGGAAAGGAAATGGGCCAGTGGGCACCAACGGCTTATATAATAATGGAATACATTATATTACATTAATATAATGGAAGACATTAATATAATGTCTTTCCAAATTACCCATCAGTCTTAGCTGTGGCATACAGATAAGTGAGCTAAGTATAACTGTCAGATATTCTTTAAAGTGTATATACTTAAGACAAAAATCACAGATTAGCAAAAGTAGAGTGGTCTCCCAGCTCATGAGCTCAACCTTTCATGGTTCCGGGGAAGATGGTTGCCACAGTGGCCACACTCTTGTTGCTGCAGGGAAGCCACAGTTGTGTCCCACACCTGATATAGAGGTCGTGAACAGTAGCAAAATTCTGCCAAACGCTTCTGCTCATGAACCAAGCTGTTTGCAGATAGAAGTGTTTGTGAGCCAACAATTTACAATAATGTATGCATGGGACTAAATATTTTACATGTAAAAAAAATGGCGATTGATGAGAACAGCAGAGAGCCTAATGAAAAGAAGGAAGTATCTGCAAAGACATCCTGCACTGAAATTATTTTCTTGAACTTCTATTAAAGTTTTTTCTAAGATGCCCATAACTCCATATCTGACATTTTAGAAAGGATGTATCAGTTCATAATATAGGAAGGTCTACTCACCCAATTTTGAGACTTTAAGAATTCTTCCATGGTTTTTGGAGGTTCTTGCATTTTCTAATGAAGCAAAATCAGTATTGTTTATTGAAATAAATTTCAATAATACATAATATTTATACATAATTGACTTAAAATACTAAAATTGTACTTTGCAGATCTCTAAGACATTATAAAATATTCACTTTGCAAAGTTCCTGCAATTTGAAAAAGGGATAGAGATATTTAAATTTTGTGTCTCTAAATCAAATTCTATAAAAAATGTTTTTCCTACTGCCTGGAGTCCATATGATTCTTGCTGAATGTCCTCTCTTCTAATTTCTTATGAGGGTTTTAAGATTATTTTGGGCTACTGTGGACAGTGTCTATAATAAATGCAGAGCCAAAAATATGATAACTAATTCTTCAAACTCTTGAAGTATTTTAAAAGACCACACTAGTGAAATGGTGGAAGCAGCATAAAGGTCTGAACATTTCAGTCTAATAAGTGATAATCCAATTTTTACTCTGCAGTAGTTTCTTTGTGAGTTGAGTATATATCGGATATTATACAAGTTAATTTTAATCAGGCCAAAGCTTGCTCTTTCTGGCCTTAGACACTTTGAACACATTCTTCTTTCTTCTTAGATCTTCCCTTGTCCCAAACCCTTCTTAGCCTACTTACATATCACATTAAAAGTTATTTTTTCTAGAAAGGCTTCATTAGCTCCCCAGAGAATTTCTCCAAGTTAACATGAAGCAGATTCGTATCTGCACAGGACTAAAACTATAGGGCACTCATCACTGAATTATCTAACTGTCACACAGTGCTTGTCCCATAACCTATGAGACTTGCCATGTGCATAAATTAATGAGAAATGAGCTGCTGGATGTGAGAAGCATGCAGGTATTCAATAAATAATAATAATAATAACAACATTTCTATGGAGCGAAAAACTGATGAGAAAGCAAAAGTAAGAGGAATTCAAAAAGTCTATATTCGGATAGCCAGAGACGTGGCTGAAGAGTTCACCTTACATTTTATATACTAAAACACATATTTTACATCAATGTATAAAATGGTCAACATTGTAAAATTTCTGAGCTATTGTTTGTAACAATAAATACACATTTGCAGTTGAATGTTTCACTCTTAATATTGTTTAAAAATGTGTGAAGAATATAAGTAAATGATAATAAAATAATAAAACTGCTCTTCAGATTGGAGCATAGATAAATACAGCTGCCGAGCACATTGTAGGGAAGCAGGGAGTCCTGGGGCCAGAGTGACAAGGGAGCGGGGTGGAGTGCACAGAATCGCGTCTGTGATGCAGCATCTCCAGGGATACTGAGTGTATCCCTGGCTAGAAAGAACCAGCAGTATTTTTTTTTTAAGTTCACTCTAAAGGAGCCTGATTAAAACAATCAAATGCTGACTTAGTTTCTTATAATGGTTGTCTACTTAGCATACATACCAAAAACACACACAATTCAATGAAAGGGAACTGGCAAAATGAATCATGGAAATGAAATTTGCATGGGGAAGTTTCAGGTGACTTTCATATAAAGTTCCAAAGTTATCTGAGGTAAAGTTAAAAGGAGGTGAGGCTTACATTATACCGATCTCTGCTTTTAGTGAGATATAAAATAATTCTCTATCATAATAAGAAAAACCTGAACAAGATAAAAATCATGCTTTTGCATGTGTTTAATGGCAACCAGCAGATGCCAGTAAACACAGCCGGTTACATATTCAGTCTCCTTTGTTCAAAAATTACCAAGAACTTCGAGATAGTGACATCGGAGTATTCACCATCATGAAGTTCAAGGCTGGGGCACCTGCAGAGGATGCGAGCCCCTCTGTCCAGCCCTGCCTGCAAAGTTTGACGACCTGAAATCCAGAGAGAAAAGATGGCTTGTAAACTGAGTGTAATGCCGTGACAGCTTGCTTACCGGAGGGCTAAGTTTGGACATCCACTGAATCCTCCGTTGGCCTGCCATGGTGCAGCGACTCTGCAGAGAAGAGAAATCTGCTGGGCCTCGGGTGACAGTGTGGGTTGGGGTAACAAACTGAAGAGAGGTCCAAACCTAGAATACAGGACTCTGCCCAACAATCCCTCCCCTTCTCCCTCAAACCTCACTACTGAATTTTGTCAAGTAAATAGTGGTAGAGATCGGGGCTGGAAAGGGGTAACTATACTAGTCAACACATGCTTACAGTTCTCTGGTACTGGGGCTCAGACAAATTTGATCCCAGTCATGAATCAAAAATACCTATAATGTAAGTCCAAATTTCTCCAGTTCAAATATTGACAAGGTATAAAAGATAGCTTTGAGTTAATCACAGGTGATTGATAACCTTCAACTCTAGGAGCCTCTCATTCTAAATGAAGAAAAAGAAAAATGCTTGAGGTCTCTGAAAATTGAACAAAATTAAATTCTGGTCTCCATAGTGTTGTTATGTTGGCCCCAAATGGTGAAGTGACTGCAAAGCCAGTGCGGGTGGCCCACTCCTGTCATTCAGCACTTCGGGGGGCCTGAGGCACCAGGGATGAAAGTTCAAGCACAGCCTGGGCAATTTAGCAACTTAGTGACTCCCCCTCCCTACCAAAAATAATCCCTGGCTGTTAGACCAACAATTCCAAGACTCCATCTTACACCAGAAAGAATGGCCATCATCAGAAGTCTAAAAATAATAAATGCTGGCATGCCTTGGTGAAAAAGGAACCCTCTTACACTGCTCGTGGGAATGTAAAATAGTACAGCCATTATGGAAATCAATAAAGAAATTCCTCAAAGAACTAAATTCCATATGGCCCAGCTATTTCCCTTAAACACAGCATTCTACAGTAATACATGCATACCAATGTTTATAGCAGCCCCGTTGTAATAGCTAAACCCTGAGGCAGCCTGTATACCTCCTCATCAATGACTGGATAAAGAAAATGGTTTCTACACATAATGGAATACTGATCAGCTATAAAGAAGGGCCAATTTAAGACATTTGTAGGAAAATGGATGTACCTGGAAAATACGATGTTGTGTGAAATAAATCAGGCACACAAGACTAAACACTGCATGGTATCTGTCATGTGAATAAGACAAAATGCAAAGAACACAATAAAGGATAGATAGAAGGAGACCAGGGGATGGGACTCTTGCAGATGGAAGGGGCCCAAGAGACCAAGGGCCAGGGGGAAGGGGAGGAAGAGGAAATCAGTAGAATAAGGGTATCCCATCTATGGAAACCTAATAAACTCAGAGAGTGTAAACATGTGCCATAAACATGAGCTACATTAATAGGATCCACAAGGATGCAAATGGGGAAAGGGGAATTAAAGGTGGAGAGTGAGGAGCTGAGAAAGAGAGGGAGGTTAAAAAAATAATCAACCTGCATTATGTACATGTATCCACTTCCCAAGAACACTGTGAACTGCACATACTGCAAACCTGTACTGAAAACTCCCAAAAGAAACAAAAACAGAAACAAAACAAGCCGTGGATGTAGCTCAGTGGAAAGATCCTGGCTTTAATCTCCAGAACTAGGAAAAAAAAAAAAAAAGGTAGTGGAGAGGTATTATAATGTAATCCAGGGGAAACACTGTTGATATAAAATGAGCCAAGAAAACACTTACTGTGATTATTAGACAAGGGCTTTAAAGCAACTACCCTAAACAGGTTAAAGACTTGACAGATTAAGTTGGATAATAGTGCTTGAGGACATGGGATATTTCAAGAGAAGTAGAAATTCTACAAAAGAAACAGTGCAACTGTAAAACCATGCAAGCTCTAGGAGTAATATGTCATTCAAATAGAATTTATCTTGGGGATTAAAGAATTATAATAATTTTATCATGCTTTAATATATCAGTGTTGAGTGTAATTCAAAATTGATAAATCTTTACTGTAATTGTTAATATATGTTTTTTTCTGGGTAATTATTTCAAATGATTTTTATTCATAATAGTGACTTCAAAGATATATTTTTCTATAGATTCATGGAAGATTTCAGCATAAATATTTTACACTTAGGTGTTTTTCACTGCAAACCTAGTATGTTCAAAGCAAAATTTTTGCTCATCTCTTGGAATAAGTCTTCACTGTTGTTTTTATTTTTATTGCAAAGTTTTCACAATCATCCAGGTTTGAAGTTTGAATTATCTTAGGTCTTTCTTCTCTTTCATCATATCCTATATCTATTCCAGCACATAATTCCTTTTTAACTATCACTTGATCTATACTTTTACAGTCACAATACTAACATAAGAATCATTTATTTACTGTTAATTTTTCAAAGTCACATGTCTGTAAAATTCATTTCTGTTTCTTAGCCTTTTCTTCGTGGTAAAACACATCTACAGTCAATAGCCCTAAGTACATGGCTTGATAACCTTTTAACAAATGTTTACACATTCATAGCTAATTCAAAAACCAAGATCTAGACACAAGCAATAGCCCAAAGTGATCCACTGCTCCTTTCTAGTCATTTGTCCTCCCAAATGGCACTATGATTCTCACTTCTTCCACTCTAGATAAATTATGCCTGCAGTGACTATTCTGTAAACAGAAGAACCAATACAAGCACTTTCTGACGTCTGCGAGTGATATTATCTGTGAGATTCAGCCATGCTGTTTCTTGAGATTGTAACTGGTATTCGTCATTCTTGCATAATACCCTGTTGTGTAATATAACCAAACTTTCTTTAGCCATTCCACTTTTAATGGACATTTGAGTCATTTTCTGTTCATCTGTTATTACAAATCAAGTCAGTATGAACATCTTGTTAGTGTCTTTTGGTACACTTGATGTATAACAGAGAGATTGCTAGGTCAGCTTTAATGAGTATTGTTTTCTAAATAGCTTTCCAAAGGTTGTACTAATTTTCATTCTAAACAGAAATATATGATATTTGAATAATTCTATGTTCTTAGCTAAGCATGCAATATTTTTTTGGTACGGCTGAATTTAGCAACCCTGATGGACCTATAGTCGTATCTTAAAGCTTTAATTTGCATTTCTTTGTGAATGTTGACCAAACTTTTCACACACTTGTTGGCAATTTGGATACCTCCTTTTGTAAGCAAATATTTTAGCTCTTAAAGAAATAAAAGTAATAAAGATAGGAAAGTAAGTTAAATTATCATTAATTGCAGATGACAAGATATTCTACATAGAAGACCCCAAAAACTCCACCAAAAGACTACTAAATTAAATAAGCAAATCCAGAAGCATAGCTGGATACAAAGTTAACACTCAAAAATTAGTAGCCTTCCTATATATAAATAATAAACTCACTGAGAGAGAAATTAGGGAAACAAAACCTTTCACAATAGCATCCAAAAAAATGATATAACTAGGAATCAACCTAATAAAGGATGTAAAAGACTTCTATATTGAAAATACAGTACTCTGAAAAACGAGATTGAAAAGGATTTTATAAAATGAAGAGATATATCAAGCTCTTGAGTACGAAGAACCATTATAGTGAAAATGGCCATACTTCCAAACTGTACACAAATTCAATGCAATCATAATCAAAATTCCAATAGCAGATCTCACAGAATTAGAGAAAAAATCCTAAAATTCATCTGGAACCAGAAGAGACCTAGAATAGTAAAGGCAATCCTGAGTAACAAAGACAGGACAGGGGGCATCACAATCCCTGACTTGGAATTATATTATAAAGCTGCTATGACAAGAAAGGTATGGTATTGGCCAAAAACAAACAAACAAACCAGACCCAAAGATCAATGAAACAGATTAGAAGATGCAGAAACAACTCCAGATATACTAAGTCACCTTATCTTTGACAAAAGTGCTGAACACATTCACTGGAGGAAACATAGACTCTTTAATAAATGATGCTGGAAAAACTGGCTCTACTCATGCCAAAGATTAAAACTGTACCCATATGTTCCCTATGCACTAAGCTAAAATTGGAGTGGATCAAAAATCTTAATATTAAAACAGGAACATTAAATCTGCTTGAAGACACTGGTGTAGGCAAAGACTTTATGAACAAAACCCTGATTGCACAGGAACTATCACAAAAACAACTGGATCTCATCCTACTGAAATGCTTTTGAACAGCAGAAGAAACCACCAACAGAGTGAAGAAACAACCCACAACATGGGAGAAAATGTTTGCCAGCTGTTCCTCAGACACAGGATTACTACTGAGAACACATAAAGAACTCAAAAAACAAAATCTGTCCTCCCAGATTTACAGACCCAATCCAAAAATGGGTATCTGAGATGAACACACACTTCTCAGATGAAGAAATACCAACAACAAATAAACATGTGAAAAAATGTTCAACCACACTGGTCGTACAAGAGATGCAAATTAAAACAACACTGAGATTCCATCTCACCCTAGAAAGAATGGTTATCAAGAAATCAACCAGCTGGGATTTAGCTCAGCAGCTTAAGCGCCACCTGGCAAGCGTGAGGTTGTGAGTTCGATCCCCAGTACCCCCCCCCCAAATCAACCAATAAAAAATGCTGGCAGGACTGTAGGAAAAAAGGAGCCCTTCTCCACTGTTGGTGAGAATGTAGACTGGGCAACCACTGTGGAATTCAATGAAGAGACTCCTCAAAAACTAGGAGTAGCAGTTCCATTCAACCCAGTTATTCTCCTTGTGGGTATCTTCCCAAGAGAATTAAAAACATACTACAGTGATACATGTGCACCCATGTTTATAGCAGCACAATTTGTAATAGCTGGATCTTGGAAACAACCTAAATGCCCATCAACTGAGGAATGGATAAAAAGATGTGGTATTTTTATACAACAGAGTACATACAACTCAGCCATACAGAAGGATAAACTGGAGACTTTTATAGATAAATGAATGCAATTTGAGACCATAACTACCTTATTTTTTATATACACATGTTTTTTCTTTCAGATTACCACACTAATGAAAGAATATGATGTTTACATGTGTCTTGTTAATTTCACTAAGTAGAAAGCACACCCATAAAAAAATGACACACGTGTAAACATTTT